TAAATGGATACACAACAAACTTTCTAATTAAACTTGCATATAAGTTCCTAAATAAAAAATTCCAATATTTTAACAACCCATGTATTGTCCCCAAACTTCCTCTTGTCATCTGTCCAGCATTTATGGGTTCTCAAAGTTTGCAGATGAAAAACAAGCCTCTTGTTGGTGAATTAAATTCTTCAACCTAGACTTAATTTCCAAACATAAAGACCAACCTCTGATGCTTCTCACTCATAGCTCATATACTAATACACATTTAGTAACTGTAAAGTCACATACTTCAACAAAATTAAATGCCTTGTAAACACTTGAGTCTATAGCACTTAACATATTAAGTGGAACTGGCCTTTACCTAGCAAATTCCTGTCACTCAGCAGTCACAATCAGATGAAGAAACCACAAGTGACAACGTATAAATTAACAAACCGAACATCATTACAATTGGATATACACAACTAGAATGTTTCATTACAGAAGTCCTGATAGAATGGCCTTCATATTTATTTTTACTACAGTTTGTCTGCTGAATAATTTGAAATAATAAATTAGTAGCATAAATGCTACATATTTTTCAAATTGTATATGAATCTTGGTTTATTGCGATCAATAAAAGACAACTGTGAACACCATAAATAAATATACAGTCCCTCCTTGTTTTTTTATTTGCCCTTGTACAGAGTTACTGATAAGGCTTAGTATTCCTTGAAACTAGTATAACTCAGTGACAAGTGGTTAATTGATCGGGCTTTATATTTATTTTCAGTCTTTTATACAGCTTTTTTACTGAATAATTCAGAAAAATAAATTAGTAGTATAATTGCTACATAGTTTTAAATCCTCTATGGATATTGGTTCACTGCTGTGAGTAAAAGATAACTAAAAGAGAAAATACCATAGATATGCTATTTCCAGTTTTATTTTTTTTATTATTTTCCTTACTGCTTATTTTACAATAAAATTGATGTTTTATTTTTTGTACTCTTAACCCGATACTCTCCGGGGCCATTTTGTCTTATTGTGAAAGCAAAATCATTTGTGAATTGAAAAAATGATAGAGAACTTATCTTTTATTGAATTTCAGATTTTATTTTTGTAAATAGTAGCATAACATTCAATTATTTGTACAAAATTGTATTATTTAATGAAGTTTAAAGAGGAATTTAATGAAAAAATTCCTAAAATACGTTTTAGACTGTAAATAAGCGCCCTCTAAGAAGAAATGTTTTTTTCAAAAATTTTTTTAAGATATTTCCTTTCACTTCAGCACTGGTCCTGCCATCTATGATTGGTATCTAAACCTTTTTCAAGTCTAAAAAAGTATAAAACTGCGTCTGGGCGTGTTAAACCTCAGTTGTAAAACTTTTAGCTAATCCTAGTCGAAAGTGTCAATTTCAGTACCAATTATTATTATTGCTGTATCTCCCATTTGACAAATCATAGGATGATAAGGAAAACACGTGATGAAACATTGTTCTCTGGATTTTACAATATGAATGTGGGTGGTGCTTATTATAGTAACTTCCACTGTATGTAGAGGTTGTATTTAGAACTGGCCAATAGGGCTTTTCTATAAGCGTTAGAAAAGTTGCTTTTGGAAAAAATTGCATGGGATATACGTGACTTTTATTATTTTTATATAGTAGCTTAAGTCATGCTGCATGGTATATCTGTTTATATTAATTATTATATTGAAAAATTAACTCAAAATAGATATAATTTTTAGGAAAGAAGTTGATCCACGATTGTTAGGGTTAAGAGTTACCAAGTGGCGAGTGCAAAGTCTTTACATGAATTAGACTTAATAGTTTGAACTGAAAGAGTTTGTGATTTTTTATATTCTTTTGAATTTAAATTTGTAATTTTAAGTTCAATAATTTAGCATAATTTTATATTTAATTCATAATAATAATGATAATATGATTCAGTATTTAGAATGATAAACTTGTGTGATTTGTACATAATACTGCTAATACCAGTACCACATAAGAATTTTATATTTTTCCGTCTTACATTCTTTGCTTTGTAGTAAGACCCACACTTCTGTTGTTATTGTGTTATAATTAAAACAGTCTAACTGATATATATATTTAGTTTATTCTGATATTTTACAAATGGTTCAAACTCAGTGTACAAGTGACAACAATAAAACCCATATGTTGGTTGTGAAACAGGCTAAATACATTCATCTCAATAATATAGGGAAGCTATGACATTCTCACAGTTGGGGTCTCAACACATTGAAGAGCTTAAGTTTTGCATTCCAACATAAATCTTGCCTATAATGAGAGGAATGTGACCAGGACTAATCTTTTAAGTGCTTTAAAGTAATTTTCTTTGTAATTTATGGTGTCTGTATCGTTTGGTAATCTCTTCTAACAGGCTGTATCAAGTAACAAGGGGTCAGGCTCAGGCAGTGTTTATTGAAACCACCTGGACTGTAAACTGTTACATACATTCGTTAGTAGTGGCAATTAGTTTTGTCTCTATTCTGAAACAACATACACGGACATATGTTGAAATAAACTTGTTTGAAAGTTCAAATAAATGATATTCAAGTACCGAAAAGCTTTCTTACTATCATATCTACAGTAACGTTCAAATGTGCACGCTCTCGGTTGAACGAGAGTGACCACCAAAAGGGGGGAAGATAATTTACGGACAACGTACAAAGTTCACGCTGCAAACTCCATGGTTTATTCGGCACAATAAACACAAAAGTACGACTGC